CATCTGTGCTTACCTCTGCTTACCTGTGCTCATCTGTGCTTACCTGTGCTTACCTGTGCTCACCTGTGCTTACCTGTGCTTACCTGTGCTCACCTCTGCTTACCTGTGCTTACCTGTACTTACCTGTGTGATTTATTGTTCGTTACCTAGGCAACTGGATCACAACAACATCAGTGCGGTTGAGAAGAGGTGGCTGTATGGACTGAAGTCCCTGCAGAGATTGTAAGTGCGCCCTCTAGGGGCCGTAGAACTTTAGGTTCGCCCTCTAGGGGCTGTAAGATTGTAAGTTCGCCCTCTAGGGGCCGTAGAACTGTAGGTTCGCCCTCTAGGGGCTGTAAGATTGTAAGTTCGCCCTCTAGGGGCCGTAGAACTGTAGGTTCGCCCTCTAGGGGCTGTAAGACTGTAAGTGCGCCCTCTAGGGGTTGTAAGATTGTAAGTTCGCCCTCTAGAGGCCGTAGAACTATAGGTTCACCCTCTATACCACCCTACTAGGGGCTGTAAGATTGTAAGTGCGCCCTCTGCTATAGAATATTGTCTCGTTGTGTTTAAGTATGCTCCCATCCCCTCTTCTACAAGAATGAATGACATACAAATACAAAATAATGAGGAGAGCAGAATTAGAAAAACTATATATATATGTATATATATTACTCATTATTCATTAAGTAATTATCCACGTTTTTGTAAATCCGTGATGACAGTTGGTCTCATTCGGCCTCGCTAGAAACACGCGAAAAAAAATCACTCTGAAGGATGTTTTTTCTCCTCGAACAAACATTTGCGTCTGTTGTTAATTACGGTCGCGGTGTTAATTAGCGTTCGCTCGCTCGCTCGGCAGCAGCAGCAGCATCCGCAGCATCCGTTGATCGCTGGCGGGGATTCGTGAGATGCCATCGCTGTAATCTCTCTAATCTTTCCTCGGTTTGCTACGACGCGGCTTGCTGCCTCCGCGATCGCTCGCGCGAGTGTGCGAGAAGAACGAGTGAGATGTCAATGATGGCAGGCAGGCGGCGCGGCGGGCGAGAACGCCTACGTGGCGCCACCTGGGGGGATCTGGTAGCGGTGGCGGGCCAGTTATTGGGTTTAGTCTTTACTCTTGGCACCTTCCCCTCTCAGGGTCCAGGTCTCCCGGTCGGTATTGCAATTGCTCTGACTAAGGAGATTTTTACTGCGCGCGTGTGCATGCATGCGTGAATGTGTATGTGTGTGCGTGGGTGTGTATGTGTGTGTGTGTATGTGCGTACGTGGGTGTGTATGTGTGTGCGTGGGTGTGTATGTGTGTACGTGGGTGTGTATGTGTGTACGTGGGTGTGTATGTGATTGTGTGGGTGTGTATGTGCTTGCGTGGGTGTGTATGTGTGTACGTGGGTGTGTATGTGTGTGTGTGGGTGTGTATGTGT